ATTACATATAATAAAAGAGTAATTATTGAATAAATCAAGCCAATCAGCGCCGACCTTTAGCCGAACGCACGTCAGTGAACCACACGTCTGGTGTGCGTGAGCGCTCCGTGCGGATCACTGACGTGAGCCCGGCTAAAGGTCGGCGCTGATTGGCTTGATTTATTCAATAATTACTCCTTTATTATATGTAATAGAAAAAAATGGTTCAGGACTTTTCGACTCAGTTTTACTCCTTCTATCTGCCTACGAGAGATGTTAAAGTAATTGTCGGACACCCTGTATATATACAATTATATTACATACTTATAAGCTCACAATTTTTATATACATATGTATATATATATATAAATTGTGTGCTTATAAGTATGTAATATAACTGTATATATTTAAATAAAAAGAATTAAGAAAATGGCAATAACAAGCTAACACCATATGTTCGGGTACGATTCTTTTATAATTCTAAAATTTTAAAAAAGTTTTAACAAACGTTTCGATCCACTATGGGATCTTCTTCAGTGTTTTAATAAAAACTTACAAAAATAATGATCCATTCAAGATCATGAAGATTATGAATAAGAAAAAATACGCTACATGAATATTCGGTATGAGAAAAAGAGAGTGTTTTTATTAAAACACTGAAGAAGATCCCATAGTGGATCGAAACATTTGTTAAAACTTTTTTAAAATCTTAGAATCATAAAAGAATTGTACCCGAACATCTGGTGTTAGCTTGTTATATTGCCATTTTCTTAATTCTTTTTATTTAAATATTCAACAAGCTGAAAACATATAATTGTATATATTTATTTACTTATACTTATGTTGTTAGTAAAACTATTATTTATATTATTATTATAACACATATATATGTAATATGTATAAATTTTTTACATATACATACATGTACATACACACACATATATGTAATAATGCAATATCACGTATCATACACGTAGAGATTTTTTATCTGAAAAAAATCACGAGAATGTCTCACATACGTGCCGAATTTTAATTTTTTTCTATTTATTTTCCGCTTAAATATTACACCGAAAATTAGATCGAATTTTCTCATTAAGCTGACGATAGCTGGAGTTTAACGATGCGTTGCAACGAGCCACGTTACGTGTTTTAAAAAAAACTGCGGTGTCATTAAAAGAAACCCACACACACACACATCAAAGTTAAGCCACTTGGCCATCATATTTAGAGAACGTCCGGGAACTTTGTTACCTGCCAGTTAACTCGCAACTTTGCGGTAAACAGCATCATCACGGTCTACGAAACTTCCCGAGTGTTGTTCCCAAAGTCGATTCCCCGACGTTACCTCTGGCGCGCGCGACGCGGTGTACTTTTCACAAAAATTGCAAATTATTGCCCGCCGCAAGAACGGCGCGGGAGAGCGCGAGAAGAGATCTCGCGCGCGGCGAAAATCCAGTTCGTTTTTATCACCTTGCCGGCTTCTTAAGCAGAACTGATGCGAGGAACGACATTTTCGTTAGAGACCGAAATCAGAGTTGATCTCGCTACGTCGGGATAAATCGTCGCGTTTCGCCCGGAGAAAATCTGCTATTTATTCCAGTCTCTCGCTCTCGCGTTTAATCCCCTTTTCGAAATGTGTAATATATTTTTATTTCCCTCTCTCGCGAGGATTTTTTAAAACTTATGCCGCTTCACGCTCACCCGCGGCGATCTGTCGAAAATGTATTTTCAAAAATCCAATCAAAGATCGCACGGGATCACGTCAAACAACCGCGGAAAAAATTGTCGACGTATATAATCAAAAAACTTCACAAAAACCAACACTTTAATTGCAAATAGACGCGAAAATGTCGCAAACAAATCGGGCGCGCGCGAAACCGAAACGTCGCGCAAAACGCGGATAAAGTATAAAAAGTGACGATCTACGATTTTTCGCGAGACAGGGAGAAAGAGAGAAGGAAAAGATTTAATTTAATTTTAGGGAGAAAAGTTATCTCGTCGCGAGAGATAACGTCTCTCCTGTTTCGAGAGATAAACCGGTCAATCTTTATCTTCCGCTTCTTTAGCTCCGAAGTGTGCGAACCGGTATCCTTCCATTACTTTCTTTACCCGCCGCTGTCGGTGGATCCGCAGGACCTGATAAAGTTCCGTCTCCTTTTTCTCACCACGGAGAGACCACGTCGTTCCCGCGATTACTCGCGGCGGCTGGGAGATCGTCCTTTCAATTTCGTCACGAGAGAGAGAGAGAGAGAGAAAGAGAGAGAGAGAGACCCCACCCACTCGCCCGGCCCGTCGGAGAGATCCGGATTTAATCAACGTCCTGTTCCCCGACTCGTATAAATTTCCTAATGACGTCTGAAAGTTGGATTCTCCTCCGTCAGAAGTGGCAACGCGACAGAAGACGCGTTTTTCTCTTCTTCTGAATTTTAACATCCCCGTAGAACGTCCCGTGACAGCGTTATGAAATATGAGGAATTAAAAAAAAAAAAAAACCGACGCTGACACATATCGTCGAGAGATGTAAGAGAAAGAATAATGTGAATATAAAAGATTAATGGCGCGAGATTAACGGAATAATCGGAATCCGCCGTGCGCGGATCGACAAGCGTCGGGGAGATCACAAGTCACCATTCGCGTAATCGCGATTTATTATAACCGCGCATGAAACGCGCGTCGCAAATGAAAGCTCCGCGATTACGTTGAGATGAGAAGAAGGCGAGATGGATTGCGGCTACAAATGGTGGCAAATGCGATTTATTAAGCCGGACGAAGCACATTTCCTTTGGAAGAAAAAACAAAAAAAACACACGCCTGAACACAGTGCGCTTGAGGCGACTCGACTGCGACGCGATAAAAAACACCGCTCGCAGCGGCATTTGAAAAATTTAATGCAAATGGAGTCGCTTTACCGCGAGACGGAGCTCGGTTGCAGTTCTTTTTTTTTTTTTTAGTTTTTATTTTATTTTATTTTTTTCCCAGTTTTGTTTTTCAAGTCTGTCGCAATTTACGGTCGCAGCGCTTCGCGGCCAAGAAGGATTATGCACAGCGATCGTCTAGTCGCGACGCATCGCGCGTTCTGCGTAGACCTCGAACGAAGATGTCATGTCCCCGAACCGCAAACCCGGCACTGCAGGCCGTATGATGAGTAGACCGCGAGGAATGTTTATGAAGTACATACATAAAGCTCACGGTACTACGCGATCCGCGTTGCACTCTCTCTCTGTTTCAGCGAGTTACGGTTTCATTTTACAGGTAAAATTCGCTGCCGAATCTCGCGCGCGAGACTTTTGCGTTGAGATTAGAAATAATTTGCATTTGCGCAAAAAAAAAACGAAGATAAAATTTTTTGTCGCGCGACACTCGATCTTTTTCCGCGAAATACACGTGAAAAACCAAAAAAAAAAAAAAAAAAAAAAAAAAAAAAAAAAAAAAAAAAAATGTTGATTACTTTTCCGTCACAAAAGTTGACAGATATTTCGGGTTTGTGTTTGCGGACGCGAATATTTAACGTTCGGCACTGCATCCGAAAACGGGAGCAAACAAACACTTTTCGACTCGCGATATATTCGATTTTCTTTTTGACTCGGCTCGCACTTTGAAGCAGCGTTTATTGGTAAACGGCGTGTGTCAGCGGCCAATGGCTTTTCATCATTCCGCGCTTAGCGCAGTTTGGATGCTTTGGATGCTGAAAATTCACACACGGTGGAGAGGAAAAGAGAAAGTCGTCCTCCCTCCCCTCTCTCTCTCTCTCTCTCTCTCTCTCTCTCTCTCTCTCTCTCTCTCTCTCTCTTTATCTCTCTGTGAAAAGAGAGTGTATTTTCTACACTTGAACTGCGGCAGCACGATGCTCGTCTGTGTGCAAAACGGCGAGGAGAGCAGCCGATTCGGATCGATACAAACGTCATCCGCGCGCGGTACGAGAGCGCTAAACGTTCTCGCTCGAATGCATTTTCCGCCGTTAAGCTGCTCGCGAGGGAAGATCGAAGAGAAGTCTGAAGGGCTTTAAACATCGTCGCGCGGCTGCACGCAAAAAACAAAAAAAAACAAAAAAAAACCCGGCCATTGACGCGGAACTATCGCGCAGGGATCGTCTAGTTTTTATTCTCCTTCATTATGCGGGACCTTCCTTGAATGGGCCACGGGAGAGGCCGCGACGGATCATTACGCATTCATGAAGATCATATGCAGTTCGGGCACGTCGCGCGTGGGAAATTGGGCCGAGATTGTCCTTATCGTCATAAATCCACATTTTGATATCGGCGGCGCGACTTTTCATTCTCGACCGTGAAATCCTCCTCGACAACGAGTTTTTTCGCTCGTCAATTTCCTTCGTTTCTGACGCTTAAGAGGGTACTGGATACCGACTATAGAGACCTGTAAACCGACTTTCTCCTATGACGTTTGGTGTCGTATTTACTTCATTAAATCTAAAATGCTTTTACAAAAATAAGTAAATTGTGCTAANGATTGGCGCTTGTTCTTTGNAATGTCAAAATTCAGCATNAATTTTTTCTTATACAGTTTNCTTNTATAACCTCACTATATATTCATGTATGTAGAATTATTTCTAAGCTTATGTACATATTTACAATGAACAAGCGCCACGGATACGACAAAAACGAATCTAATGAGACATTCAGATTATGGTATGACTATCTAATTGATAAGAACAACGTCTTAGTGTGATAACAATATAGGTTATCATATGCTATCATTGTGAATGAAAAAAAGAGTCTCAAAAGGCATTATATATCTAGTTTCAAAAGCACTAAATAGTTGTTTATATGTATTTGCTTCTATAGAAGCACTTTTTATATAATGCAATAAAGAAACTTAAAAATTCGAGAAATTTAGGTTTTTAGAACGTCAGTTTACAGGTCTCTATTCAGTTTACAGGCCGGGCTCCAGTACCCTCTTAACAGGCTACTACAAAGAGAGAGAGCTATAATAAAAAGAAAAAATACAGAAGGAAACAAAACAAAAAGCTAATATCCACAAAACAGGAGGAATATATTTCTATATTGATTTTTATTCTTTTTATTGTTCAAACGAAATTACATGCTGTCATATAATATGTAAGTGACGTTTTCGTCATCGCGTTTTGTCGATATTTCGTCGGGAAATCAAGTCCTTGCGAAGAGGAGTGGTGATCGAAAATAACTCGAGCAAAAGAGAAACGAAGGGTACGTAACGACCGCCTTGCGTGCTCGCGATAATCAGCGAGCGAGGCCGAACAAGAGCGAGGTTGAAGAAAGGAGGGTAATGAGTTAGAGAAGAGATCGGGGATGAAATTAAAATGAGAAAAAAAAGCGTTCGGGAGTTTAGCGTGATTCTTTATGGCGTCCGCCTTTGATGCTTCCCGAGATTGCAATCGTATCAAGAGGAAAAATGGCTTGAAGATTCATCCCCGGATTACGAACGAAATAACAAGCCGCCCATAAAAAGGTCATCCGATAAGATAGGATTAAAAATTACTTATTAGATATCGCATCAAAACTTTATAAGCATTAACGTGATATTCGTATAATGTGTGTGTGCGCGTGTATGTGTGTGTGTATGATTTACGCGACGCAAATAATAACGTTGGTTAAAACCGACATGCGTCATTCGCGTATTGAAAGACTTTAATATCCGCGCGAGCCGCCAGTCGATCCATCCATCAACCGGGAAACTGGAAGCAATCTTTATCTTTATCACCTCGAAATCTCGGCGAAGGGCGATAAATCAGGATTCCTCGCATTTTAATAACCCCGACAGCGACCGTCGTCATATTTCACTTAACGTACGCGCCTAAGTCATTGCGCGATCCGCAAAACGTCACGCGAGCGTCGCGCTGTGGGACGAGGGGGGGGGGCGGGAGAGGGCCGCAATTTCCATCGGCTGCGGTAAGTGGTTCGAGCAATAATCACGTGAGAACGCAATTTTACGGTTTCGAGCGTCGTGCACAGACAAGGCTCTCTCTCTCTCTCTTTCTCTTTCTCTTTCTCGCGCAGTTAAATTTCTATTGGTCTCCGCCGCAACGCCCCGACGACGGCCGCAAGGTCATTATTTCGACGCATCGGTTAATTTTACGGCGTATTCGAAAACGCTATCCGGGGTCGAAGGATGCGTCGCGTCGTCACTCACGGCCGATGTGAAATTGTTTGCGGTCCGCATCATCGTCAGTCGTCGGCGTCGCGCGTCTCGTGTGAGGGAGGCGGTAATCACGCTGCGCGCGTCCAATTTTTGCCTTGCAAATTACACAGCTTTCGCGAAAACGACGACGAAACAAGAGAGACACGCACCGCAAGTGCAATAAATACGCGTCCGAAGTTTAAATCATCTTTTGCGCCTGAGAAAGATCAGATTCGCGAATTTATTCAATTTGTTAAAGTTTTTATAATTCAGTTATAATTCAGTATAAATAAACAGCTATATAAATTACACTCTGCGATCTTTGCTCGTTTTTATTTTTTTTATTTTTTTTATTTTATTTCGGACGAAACAGTCACTCATCGAACGTTTTTTCTTGCGCCTCGTCCTCACTTTCCGGCTTTTCTTTCTCATCCACGTGGAACGAAACGGCCGCTTTTTGCAGCCCCGATGTTTTGCCGAAGGACATGTGAATATCCTGCAGAGTCTTGTTCTTGGTCTCGGGAAGGATGAAGTACAGAACGGTGGTCCCGACCAGCGCGACGATGCCGAAAAGAGCGAACGTACCCTCGAGTCCCGCGATCTGTATCGTGGCCGGCGTCATCTTGATCAGCGCGAACTGACAGACGAAGTTGAAGCTGGACGTTAATCCGGATCCGAGTCCGCGGTACTCGCGCGGGAACAGCTCGCCGCAAAGCAGCCAGGACACGGCAGTCAGTCCCAACGGCGGCATGCCGACGTACGTGAGAAGGAGAACCACGGAGAGCCAAGGTCGTCCGACGTCGTGGGCCAAGCACGCGCTTAGGGACAGCATGACGACGGCCACGCCAAAACCGGATATGAACGTGAGAACGCGTCTGCGACACATCTTCAAAAGGAAACACATAACGACGGCGAGTGTCAAGCGAATGGAATCGATGACCAGCATGATCAGATACGCGTGCGTGGAACCCGAGAGATTGGACAACACATGGATGGCGTAGAAGGACATCACGTTAGTGCCGACGAACTGAGAAATGAAGAAGTACACGCAGACGATGCCGAGAGGTCTGAGAAAGTATCGCGAAGACCAGGTTTTTTTAAGAGAGCGCAATATCGAACGCTTCTTCTTCGCTGACAGTTCCGTGAGCCTGGTGGTTTCCAAGAGGGAGAACTCATCGAGCGCACGCTCGCCGCGCAGATGTGTCCAGGTGCGTCTGGCCTCCTCGATCTTGCCTCTGTTCAGCAACCACATCGGACTTTCCCGCGCGAAGATGCACAGGCACCAACAGATCGCCGGCATTCCGGCGCAGATGTACGCGGTGGTGCGCCAGTCGAACCAGGTGCCGATCGCGTGACACCCCAGCACGCCGATGGAGAGAGTGATGTTGATCGCTCCGAGTAAAATGCCACGCAATCGCGGATCGGTCGTTTCGCTCACGTAGATCGGATAAATCGGCGCCTGAACGCCGGAGCAGAATCCAGTGAGCACTCTGCCCGCGATCAGCACTTCCACGCTGTTGGCGAAGCCGATGAGAAACCAGGCGACCATCAGAACGGGAAACAGCAGCAACAAGGTTGTCTTCCTGCCGAATCTCTCGACGAGAAATCCGGCGATCCAACATCCGGGAATCATCGGCAGGATCGAGGACGACGCGATCCACGACTCCTGGTCGACGGTGAGCGTTCCGAAGTTGTCCGTAATTTCCGTTACATTCGCGTAGCCGGAGGTGGATATCGTCTTCAACTGCGGAAGGAGAATCGCGCTGTAACTGCCCACCATACCCGCCACGGAAATTCCCATTAACGGTCCTAGAGCAGTCAGCAGTTGTCTGAGATAGAACTTAATTTTCGCGTCCGATACACGGCACTCGTAAATCTTCATCATGGCGAAACAACAATCTCGACGATGAGCAAATTTCGACGTTAATGGAAATTAACGATCTTGTATTATCGCCGCATTCTACGAAAAGTACTTGATTTTTATTTTTTTTTTTTTCTTATATTGTTGGATTTTTCACGAACTTGAACCAAATGCAGCGCGAGATAACCGTTGAACGTTAAACTCGGGTTAAACACAGCATCGCTCATGACTGATCGTCGTCAACTGAATAATCTGTTTTTCTCGCTCAACAAAAGTAACATTCGCTCGATATAAAAAATCACGTGCACATGCTGAACTAATCGCGCTGACGTTCTTAAGATTTATTAATTGAGATAACTGTATCTTATCACGCCAGCCACTGAAGACGAGTGTTTGATTTTTTATAACACTTGAGACATTGAGTTTTTTTCGCCAATAAAAATGCAACAAACAACACTGTTGCGCAAACAGCATTGATAATTAACAGAAATTCATTAACGATGAATCAAATTGGACTTATAAATATTAAATCATCATTCGCCTGCTGAAGAGGAAAGCTTGATTATTCGCCGGAAATCGATCTTACTGTTTTCACACAGGTGTTCTCGATATGCGCGCATCGAGATATTTCACAGCTTGTTTCCCTCAAAAGGGAAAACTCCAACTAATAACTTCGTGTGTCAGTCATACGATGTCGCATCCTTTTGCAAACTAATAACTACGTAATCTCCTCTGAATAGATTGAATAGCATCGAAGAGAAGGACGCCTCTTTTCAGTAGCTTTCACGTTCGAAGCTACTTAGCTTCGTCTCGCACATTCAATGCTAATAAAATAAAAGCAACGCGCGATATACGCGCGCGTGATCGCATCATCGATTTCAAACTTCGCGCGAGAACGAGATTTATTTCCGCTAATTGCGAGAACAACGCGAACGCCGCGCATCTTAGACGCGTTTTTAATTCGATCTTTCTTTTTTTTTTTTTTTTTTTTTTTAAATCGGACGCTTTTGCACATTTCAGAGTCTCGGTATTTCTATGCAAATTCTATGCGCGACTGTAAATTCAAATCCGACGCGCCCACATTTCTTCCCACACTTCGGCGGATTCGACGGCGCTTCGCGCGCGCCGAAATAATTAAGTCGGCGCGTCGCTTCGCCGCCGCGTAGAAAATTAGACGCGCACATGTGTTCGTTCTCCCTCCTTTTCCCTTCTTTCCTCCCCCTCGGCGGGAAAATGAAACTAAAACCTTTGCGCGCTCCCATGCAGAATAATTTCCCCGCTGCGCCCCGCGGGGCAACACGCGTGGTATTTTAACTAGCTGAAAAGGGATTTAAATGATCCGAGGGAGAGGTGGTGGGAATTTAATACACGCGCGCACACCCTCTCTTTGCCGGGGGTATATTCGTATTTTGGTAGGATGCCAAATGCGATTTTCGCGTTATTTATCTTCCGCCGGGGATGGGATCCTTCTCCACCTCTCTTTTCCAACGCGAAACAACTCCCGTAGTCGAGCACGTCCGACGCGGCATAGGCGCGCACGCATCGCGCGCGTTTGTTCCGCCGATTAAAAACTTCGCGCGCGCACACACACACGAACTAGGAAAAGCGGTAATACCGCGGCGAGGGATATTTAACACGTTTTCGGTGCGTCGCTGTAATTAAATGCTTTTGCGCCGTTTTCGCTGCTAATCCCCCGTCATTAATTTCGAATAATTTCCATCCGCGCGCGCGCGCAAAAAAAAAAAAAAAAAAAAGAGGATTTCTTCGCCCCTTCTTCCCGTTGCTGTGCTTTCTTTTTGCAAAAAGCACCACCAGCCGCACAACACGCAAAAAAACTATTCCTCGGAAAAGGAAAAATGTTCTTTAACATTTTTAACATGTACCTGATCCTTCCAACTTGTTAAGATAAAAGACTCTCTTTCTTTTCACGGGTGATTTAATTTTCTCAGAAGTGGAAAAAGAGAGCGCGGAATTCGTCTTTTTGCCCTCGACTTCACTCTTCGAAGTCTCTCTTCCGTCTCTCTCTCTTTCTCTTTCTCTCTCTCTCTCTCTCTCTCTCTCTCTCTCTCTCTCTCTCTCTCTCTCTCTCTCTTTCTTTCTCTCAAACGTTAAGTTTTGCGAGTATTTTCAGGAACCCCCGGTCGGCAGTTAAAATTCTCACAACGCGAAGGCAATCGGTAAACCAATAAAAATCAAGAGATCGGATGGGCAAACAGCGAGACACGAGGGCGAATCTCTCTGTGCGCCAATTCTATTACGGGATTTTCTAACTCTTTGATGTACGGTAAATATTCTGGCGCGATGTATCTCTCCCTTTTGCTCATCCCAATGTGCCTCGTCAACTTCGACTCACGTCGCGGACGAGATACGCCTTTTAATGTCGAGGACTCTCAAAAGTCTCGTTACCTCGCGTAGTCTGTACTTCGGGCGTTAGAGGGGTGGGACTGGTTTAACGGCGAACGCTTTTACGAGGGCTTCTCCCCGAGACGAGACTCGCGAAGAAGAACAAGAACCTTGCGGGTGCATTTTGATGAAGTCGAAAAAAAAAAAAAAAAAAAAAAAA